ATAGTTTTAGCTAAACAACTACATTTTTTCCATTTTATCTTGTAATTATAGAGTTGTCTCACATTCCAGGTTCAAGGAAGTGTTGTATATCAGGCTAATATCTCCAAGTGAGTCTGACGCTCTTTCCCACGGCATGAAAAATAGTCCCCTTGAAACGTTTCACATCATGGGTTCAAGAGTCAGAAGTGGACAGACAGTCACATACTGGAAGAGAGGCCACAGAATGTCAAGATATGGGTGGAAATTATAGAAATACAGAGGGAGATGGTTGGAATGGTCCTCTTACACAAAACTGATGGATATGTAGCGTGTGTGGAGTCATGATTTTACAGTATGCTGGATAAAGATGCCACTTATAGTTATTTGCTGCCCTCATAATATTAAATGGGACATTGATGGCATTTTCTGCCCTCTGGGTTTTCGGGAGATGACATGTTTGAGTACCATGATCTTTAATCTAAAAAAATTATTACAGCTTCTTTCTGCCAAGAGAGGGATCCTCCAGTGCTCACAGCACCATATGCACAACATAAGTGTACAACAACCAAAGGTATAAACATCCATATGTTTTTTCCCCTGTCTTTACAAGAGCTTGGTCTTTCAGTTTTAAAACAGGGCTTGGCATTTAGATTTTGCAGTGCTTTCACTCAAAAAGTACTCTGTTTGCGCTTAGATTTCCTGCACTTCAGCTTGAACTCTACTACTCGTACTTACAGTCTCTGAGCTTGGTTTTTTTTACTTCTGCATTTTTATGTGCAACACGTCTGTCTAAAATCCCCAACCAATAGAAAGGCAGATGTAGTGATGACAAGCGAAATTGTCCTACCCTACTTGAGGGTGTGTTAGCTTAATGTCTTTGAGAGTCCTGTGTGGGTGGTTACGTTTACCGGGTTCATGCACTCACGGCTTACACCGGCAATCCCTCTGTGTTTTTGAAGAAAAAAACTACGACACCTTTATGGAGCAGGAGTCCAGATATTTCCATTATGGGCATTCTACTGGGTGGGGAGTTTTGACAGACTTGTTGCACAAAAAAAAATCTAAGCACAAGCAGCTTGTATTTAGTGCGAGCGAAGGGTTTTGAGTGAGAGATTTACAAAATCTGAACGTGAAATCAAGTCCTGTTCTCAAACCAAAAACCACTGTCTGGAATAAAGATAAGAAGAAGAAAAAAAAATACATACAGGCGCACTGCAAGAAAATACAAAATCACTTCGTCAATCAGAGGCCATTATAGCTGTCCACCTACATGATCATACCTGTTTGGACAGAAATGAGTGAAAGCGTAAAAAACACTTCCTCTGACTTATAATCATTACAGACGAGAGATGTCGTTCCCAGCTCAGAAAACAACTCTGAGAGTGATTCAAGGTACCAAGATAGTTCTTTTTACTGAAAAGGAAATTGATCTGAAACTTAACATATGATATCTGCCTTACTTCTGACTGTATCGCTGCAAATTTACCAAAGCCTGTGTCTCTATTGCACAAATCCTTTTCAACATTTTCCGCTCCCCCCTGACTTCTTGGTTCAGTCATGGTCTAACTAGAAAAATGGTCTCATCGCAGCTATGAGCAGAGAAAGCCTCTTGGAGAAGCGAGAGAAATGCTTTAACCCGAACCAAGGCGGTGGATACAGTTCGTTTTTTTCGACAACCCTGACTGATTTGCATATGAGAGAAAAACGCCTCTGATGTTGCGATGACAGCCCTCAGTGAAACTCGCCCCACAGAGATTTAATTTTGTACAGTGCTGATACTTAAGTTTTACAGTGTAGGCCACTATTCAGCAAAACATCTATCAACATAAGCTTTGAAGGGCCTCGGAGGCTGTTTGCTTGATCTCACCAAGGACCCCAAAATCTTACATAAGCTGCTTTGCTTAGTCAAAGGCAGGCTGAAAAAAATACCCAGCCCAGCGCCCAGCGCTTCACACAGAAACAGCCTCGCAGCTACACAACACCAGCGGTTTGGGGCTCAGTGCAGAGCTCTCGTCTCCTCTAAGCCAGCATATGTCAGGCCGAGTCTGTCTCTACCCCGTCTGCCTGCCACTGTGGCAACAGCAGGGGAACGTCTCAGCTCTGCCAACTGCCTGGCATCACACACGCAGGCCCTTTCCAGAAACCTGCTGTCATACTGTTAAAGGTCCCTACCTCTGTATGGAAAAAGGGGCAGAACTGTAGATGTTTGTGTGTTTTTTTTAACTGAAGAATGGCATGACATATCAGAAACACTCTACTGATGACTTTGGTTACGTGGCGATTTTGTTAGACTGAGAATACTTCTAAGTTCTCTGAGTTCTGCTACAAGAGTTTATGAAAAATCAAAATTGAACAATGCATTCTGATGCAGTGAAAAGTTGATGAGATTTTCAGTCATCCTGGTCAAAGTTGAATCAAGGGCAACTGAAAATGGTTGAAAAAGTCGGTTTAAACTCTGGAAACAAATTGGAGCAGACACGTGATGGATTCAGAGCCTTTTTTGTTTTGTGTCTTCTTAAATTTACCAAAAAGCCTATACGGTTAAAAAATTAGGATTGTATTTATCAAAAATACAATCTGTAGCACAAAAAGTTAAATTATATGCTAGGGTATCTAAAATATGTTTCAACAGAGTGCTGATGACACAGGGACTATTTGTATCTCTGCGTGAGCTACAATTCACAGAAGTGTACTTTTCTTGTTAATGCTCTATGATGAATCTCCCTGGTCCAATGCTTAATGATGCCAGCCACACTGGCACAATTAATCAACCCAAAATAGTCATAAAAATAGAGTTTTAAGTGACGTATTGATCTGCTAACAGGACACTGTGTTGCATTGATTGTTTGTCTAACACTGTATTGATTAAATAAAAAGCAGCATCATTTAGTTGATTGATTATTCAAAGTTTTTACCAACAGACTTCAGTCTTTAGCTCAGCGATACGGAAGAAAGAGCAGCAGAGTTTTGGCTTTTGCTTAAGACTAGCTTATACTCTATACCTGGGAGTAAACTCCATGACCAGTGGGGACACTTTAATTCAAGGCCCCACAACTTTAATGTTGTTTTTCATACTACTGTGTCACATACTAGGATATGAGTTGCACCAGGAATTTGCAAATCCATCACCATGTCCCTCATGTCCCTCCTGAGTTTTTATAATCTATGGGGGTGATTTCAAACTGGGGATTTACTAAATCGAGTTGTAGCACAAAAAAACGTGTCTCCTCAGGCCTTTATGTTTCTAAGAAAAGTAACTAGCATGGTAAATTCAAAAGCTATCACAAAAGAAATCCCTTTAAGCCTGGTAGAGGACACAATGACCGACGTCTTGGCTTCTGTTTTGCAGCGAAAAACAAAAGAATGAAAATAGATGAAATCATGAGAACGAGCACACAACATCCGGTTGTATGATTCAAGATTGGGGGGCTCTGACTCAATCAGTAGCGTTAAGATTATTACGTAAACCCCCACACTTCAGGATTATTTGGGCAGATAATCGGCACCGACTCATGTAGTATGCATGCAGGTTAGAATTAGTCCAGTTATGCTAGGCTTACTGAAACAAATTTAGCCATTTAGCCTGATATACTCCAATTTTAAGTATGATATTAAAATTTAAGTCTCACTGAACTTTTACCATTTTATCAAGTTTCAGGTCAGATACAGTATATATTGAATACATTTCAGGTTAATTAACGCTTAAATCTCAACTTGTCAAGTATAGCAAGCTAACATTAGCTTGTCAGTTGGTACAATGAGCTACGTTGCAGTTACACTTGGCAGATAGTAGGTGTAATTCAATATTTTGTGGCAAATTCCTCTTCATATGAACTTGTTTGCAGAATGCAACCATTTGTAACATATGTGGAAATGTCCACTTCATCTAACACTTGTGATTAGGTCAAATTTACAAAGAGCTGGTGCAACCAGAGCCAAACTCAGCATTACCATGGTAATCAATGGCAAATAATATCTAGATAAACTACATCATAGTTTATGATATTTAAATGTTTAGATATCACACATGGGTCTGCACAGCTACAGACTGTGACTTGTGTGTTTCCTTTCAACAGGAGATATGCAAGTCTTCCATCCCTCTGGAGTCCCTTGCCCCAATTCCTTTTCATTACTTCTCAGTGTTTTTTTTGATTGAGTCAGCACAGATATAATTCTGCTTCATTTGACTTTGAGCAACACAAAACCTTTTCAAGAAATACGAACATTGCAAAGTTCTTTAATTAAAGAAACTAGCATTGCAGATATTTTGTTTATGTTTTGATTGTATTTTTCTATCACTCCTCATTAACTGTGACTGGGGGCAATAGTTGGAAGGGCCTGAGAGAAGTATATTCAATGAACAAAAAAGTAATTTGTGTGTGTGTGTCTGCATGTGTCTGATGAAGCTGCAACAGATCCAAGCAGCGGATATTTAGGGAAAAATAAACACAATGAATATTCTTCCCGCTCACAATTCAAAAATACAACAGTACTATTGTGAACTTGGGTATGTACATTTCCCTTGGAAATAGAGAGAATTGTAATAAGTGCATAAGTGCATTTGTCTACACATTTTTTAACTAAGGATTTACACAAATCTTCATAGTTTTTTTTCCTACTGCACTGATGTGATGAAGATGTTGGCACGAGACTTGCATGTTTTCTGCTTCAAGTAAATGTCCGTATTTAAAAGTTGGCAACAGGAGCATGAGATATATAGGAAAGTAGATTGAAATGTGCATGTTAATGAGCTGACGGATGTCGTCCTTCCACCAGTCCAGACCATGACACAATGTTTGACTACAACCAGATTGGGTAGAAAGCTGCATTTTTCAACACTGACCAGTCCAGAGCTTATAAGGGCTGCCTGAATAACCTTGAATGGGTGATCAGTGCCACATGCACATAGTTGAGGTATTTCAAGCATTGGCACTTTTCAAAGTTTTGAACTTACAATAATTCTGCGATATTTATCTTGTTATTAACATTTACTCCAAAAAAAGAACAGAGAAACAAGAGTCACAATCTAACTTGAAATTATCTAAAAATACTGAAACTTTGACTGTTTTTTGAACAACTTGAAATAAATAGAATTTCTCTCATTTACTCATTTTAGCTCAAAGGCCTGGTTGCTGGTAGGTTTTCAAAGCTGCACTTTTTGAATGGCACTTTGCAAATGCTGAAAAACTACAGATGTACCCATCCAGGGCTTTGGATGAGAGAGAGCGCTTGTAGGCTGGGCATCGCGATCACCAGCAAACCACGGAGAAACCCAACCGACCCATGTCAGACATTTATTCCTGCTAACACACACTCTGGCAATGGGAGAGGAGGCTCGGCTCATCCTACAGACCGATGGTGATGGATATTGAGGATGGCTACAGATGGATAAAGGAAGAGTAGAGAGAGTAGCAGTCTAGAAAAAGGCTAGTTTTAAAGTTGTTTAAATGTGTGGAGCAGGGAGACACGTTGGCCCCTGACCCTATCTTCTCAAAGTCTAGTCTGAGCCTCGGGAATATAGATCTCGATGCTGTCCGCTCGCTCCGAGGCCGAGTTCTGCCGGAAGGAGGCCGCTCGCTTGGCTGCCATGAGCCGTCGACGGGCCTCCTGTCGGTGCCTGTCTGGGAGGTCCAAGGATTTCTCCCTTGTCACCAAACTCCTCTGTCGAACTGTCTTCTTTGGTACTGGAGCTGGTGGCTTTATGAAGAAGAATAGAAAATAACATTAAAGTGGTTGTACACTTTTTTAGAATTTCTTTTTTTCTAAGAAACTGTATGCAAACCCTTTGTGTGTGGAAGGTCACAAAATTGAATGTTTATTTAATCTTTTGAATCCTTCCAGAGGGCTTATAATATTTTTTGGGGGGGAAATATCATTTTGAATAAAATAAATACCCCAAATAGTAATAAATATAGATACAAAATAAAATATTATTATTATTATAACAACAACAACAACTGTCCCTCTGGCATCCTGATCAAAAATGTTCCCTCAAGTTTACATAAAAAACATACAAAATACTGACTGTTTCCTCCATTAATCGGTTTAAATAATAAGAATAAATAACATTGAATCAGTTCAGTCTTTATATTTTGGTCAGGATCACTGTACAACACACATGCAGCTGACAGGGCAGTAACACATCCTGCAATGTGTTTGAAAGTTGCCTGGGTTCAGGGCTCACCGTTCCAGGGAGGCTCCTCACCTTCTTCTCCGGGCTGTCGACGGGCCTCCAGTTGTTGTTCTTGATGTGCTGCAGCTGGTCAAACTTCATGGTGACGTCATCGACGGAGAGCTGCAGCAGGTCCCAGAAGCCGGCCAGGTCCTGAGAGGTGGGCCGTGGCATGGCACTGGGGTCCTGCAAGAGATACAGGTGAGAGCAGATACTGTACAAAAAGATGGTACCAGTGTCTGTGGTTGCATTAATGGTTCAGTGCCTGTAGCCTGAATAACAAAACACAGTCGGCAATGGTACACTTGTACGCATAGAAACACATGCTCCTAGAGTATGTGGATTAAGTCAGGACTGCACTTCGCCTTAGATCCACTAGATGTCCTTATCAGACTCATCAAAGTAGGCATGGATACGCAAGGTTGGAGGCTTTGGCTTGAAATGAAGGGTAACGAAAATATTTTCTCAGATGAGCTCAGAGGTAATAAACTGCTTTTGTCAGTTTGGTCTTATTCATCACTCAACTGCTGAAATGAAATGAACTTCAGATTGAAGAGCACCTCATATTTTCACCTGTGTCCATTTGGCTGTTGGTTTGTTTGTTTGGAAGCAGTATTACACAAAAACAACTGGACAGATTTCAATGAAACTTGATGTTCCATTGTTTATAAACCCGAACAAAGTAGGGACAATCAGACGATCCCAAAGACAATACAATACACCAACACCTAGCAACACCTTTACATGCTCACTGTGGTTAATGAATATAAAGATATTGCTATGAATGTAATTAGAAAAACTAAAACACCCAGTAGCTTTATGGCCTGAAACTAATACACAAAGCTTAAAGTTTCAAAACAGGAATTTCAGTTTATCCAGAAACTGAAGTCTGTGGTTTACATTTTGCTCTGCGCTGCACCCATTAATCTCTCATCATCAAATATTTCATCTGTAAAATCAGTAATTAGTTTAATGTGTGCAGTTATAACATGGGGCTTTGTTCCCTTTCTCATTTAATATACAAAGAGACACTGTGGCTGGTACTGATCTATGATACAACTCTGATGTGAAACACAGATTGTGCAACAATGGTTATAATACAAATGTCACAACTTTACATTCTTTATAAACCATTGACAATTAAGAGGAGTACATGATTTTTTTCACTGTTACTAAGAAACACAGCAGTAATCACACGGTGTTTAATGTCTGTTTGATTTATTTCAGATGTCTCAAGTCAGGAGAATTGCTGTCTGTCACGTTCAACATGTATGATGAGCGTGTCGACTCTATTTGAACAAACTGCCTATAGCCACAAGTTATTAAATAGGCCCATCGTAATATCCATCATTTAAGGGAAAATAAGGGACAATGAAAATATATTTCTGCTCCCTGTAATTACCGTAGCACTGCCTCCGCACTGGTTCAGTGTTATTCTAACACTCAAACTCGTGATGTTCTGCAAACTGTTCTCAAAAGTCATAACGCTCTGAACATCCACCGGAGGTGACAGATTCAGGAGGAGTCTAAGTTTTAAGCTGCGGCTGATGTCAGTGCCGTGTGCTTCTAATCCTGGAGCTCCTCCCAGAGAAGACCTCCACACAGACTGTTTTTAAACCAGCGCTGAAGTCAAACTTCATGTTAAGTTGATCCAAGAGGTCGAGAGAAGCCGGGTGATGAAACGCATGTTTTTAAGCTGCTGGTTTATGAAAATTAATTTCAGAAATGTTTCAGTGTGTTTGTTACGTGGAAAAATGTTGCATCTGTTTGGATTGAAAAAGTTGTTTTAGTGAACTAGCAGAGGGCTTGACTCAGTTTAAAAGGCTCCTTCACTTTATCTAATCCCTGTGCATTTCCCACTCCCCCTGAATGAGCAGTTTCTGATGTGAAAACGGAATCACTATACCTCATAACTCCGCACCGACCTAATGTGAAATATTGGGCATTCGGCTGGGATCAATAAAACGAGATGGTGAATAGTGCAATAAAAATGAGGCAGAACATCCCCCTGTATGTGTTTCCTAGAGCAGCTGCCGCCTGGATATTTAGTTCTATTTAAAACCCAGGTTTGGCTCAGCCCTCGCTTCTTCTTCTCCCCCCCAACACACAGACACACACACACACACACATGCTCAGGTATTGTTCATTTTCAAAACAATGTCCAGGTCACTTATAAAAGTGCGAGATATCGATTCTCAGTAGTGCATCTTTCCACAATCAATGATATATTCAGGGAGTTTTGGTTTGGTTTGTTAAAGCATTAAATTTGTTTTGAAGGTTGGAGAACAAAGGTTGTGAGGACACAGACAAAAGTGGAATTTCGTAACACATGCATATCATTCATCTCGACAGTTTTCCTCACATTGCAGCCAATAAAAACAAATATCTCTTCTCATTACTTGAAATTCAGAAATGGAGTAACTTTATTTAAACTTTTCTACTTATTCTGATAAATTCCTTTTACATTGATAGAGAGATAAAATCATGTATAAGATCAAATATCTTTAAACTTCTTTTCTTTTTCGTGTGTGCTTCGCTTTTTGTTTTTTCTAACCTGAGGTCCTCAGTCATGTGAACCAGAGGTAACTGGGTCCTTTGTGTCAGGGCTCCTCCTCCCTGAGAAGATCCGCCTGTCGGACTCCTTATTCTTTTATACTTCACGTTTGTATGTGGGATTTCTCAAGACTTACAGTCTGAATTTATTATTCTTATTTAATTACTTTTAATCTAGTTCTTACTGACTATTTTGATTAATAATCATTTCATCATGTTTGATTTAATTTAGTAGTCACTCTTTTCTCATCTGTAACATTGTGCTCTAGTTGTTCCTCTTGTTTGCCTACAATTCTTCATTAACCTGTTAAGCACCTTGTGACGGGCTTGGAAAAGAACCAGATAAATACATTTTTTATTGATAAATCATGATAACTATTATTATTGATTTTCACAACTTACTGACCCTTGTTTGAGTTTGTGTAATGCAGATGTGATGGTGCCAGGCAACATATTTTCTGCTGTTATTGATGTATTTGATTAGAGATAAATACACATTAAAGATCGAGATATAAAAAAAGAAACAAACACATTCTCTGTAATCAGGTGAGACGGCTGACTTGGTAATCCTGACCACAACTTGGCGGTGACAGCATGACGGTCAATAATTGTAAGATACTTCAGGGAGGTTGTTGGAGACAAATCGGTTCAGACGGAATATTCTCACACACTCTGTGGTTGGTTTCTCACCAAGTTTTGCTGACACAGCCAATAGAACTGCTGGAATTTCTGAGACATGAGCAGCTGAGCGCTTCCCACTGCACTTCGGATCTTCCCTAGGACTGAAAGACACACACAGCATGTCAAATATTGTGCAACACACACACACAAATAGATGAAATTTTCAGGAGACCACTCACTTTCCTCTGACAGGTCGTTCTCTTCAGCCTCAGCCTCCATCTCTTTACACCACCCCTCCATCCTCTTGGTCTCCGTGTGCAGCAGTTGCATGAACCAGCTCCCGTCCCTCCGCAGCGAGGGGGACGCCCTGCCCGACTCTACTGACGAGACTGCGCTCTCCCGCTGGGAGGGGGGTTCCAGCTGCCAGGTGGCCTCGCTGGTCGTCTCCCTGGGGCTGGGGGGTTCAGTGGGGGTACGGTAGTCCTCGCGGTAGCTGAAGAGTCCCTGGGTGCGTACGGTTCGCACCGCCCCGTACTGCGTGGGAGTGCTGGGCTCCGAGTGGCGCTGGAATCCACCGCCGAACTGCAGGCCTTTGTCCTCCATGGTGGGGAAGCCCTCCAGCTCCATGTCAGCCTGCACAGCTGCAGTCACACTGTTGGAGCGTTTGAACCTGCCCTGTCTGCAAAGAGATACAGATGAGAGATAATGGCAGCGGCAATTGGGTAAACAACAAACATTCAGCTTCTCTAACAAGGTTTAAATGATTTTCTCACCCTTTCTTATCATCTTCTACCTGGATCCCAACAGAGTGGTACTCCGGGCAGCCTTTGCTTTCAGATTCAGAGTCGGTGGCTGCTTCCACCTAATATGAAGAAATGATACAAAGCAACAGTGCTTCTCATTATGTGCGCTACCATTCCCTGGTGTTACTGGGTTTATTGGTTTGGGACTGGACAGAGCACCTTAACTGTACAGAGGCTGTCAGAAAGTACAAACACTACATGATTTATGGAGGCTGCAAAGGCAACAAGATGGAAGAGGTTTCCTGCAGAGGATTTCAGGTTTCTACAGTATAATTTATATTAAAATGATGGAGGAAGAGCTTCATGCTACACTGCACTGTATATAAAATCTAAAAAACAGTTCTGAATATCTAAGGCTGACTGTGATTTCTGTAATTCTTATTCTTGTTTCACAATTTTCAGACTTTTGCTCATTGCTCTGTTTGTGCTACAGTGCTGCAAATGTTATTAGTCTATAATTAAGGTCAATGATTTTTTTTTACATCGAAAACACAAGAAGCAAAAATAAGGGGAGAATAATTTTGTTGTTGATACAGTTTTAATTGTTGAATGTGTTCCACAGGGCCCAAGGGTCTAAGTTGTACTAGTCACAATTTTAATATGAACAATGGATCAGATAAATATGTGGTTATTTTTACACTTGTAATAATAAATCCACAGAATTATCACCTGACCCTGCAGCTCTTGTTAGCTTTATGGAACTTCGTAGCATCTCTCAGCTCATAGCCTGAGACTTCACTGGTTTTGTTTAGTGTACTGATATTCATGATTTTCAATTTGGTGCAGATCCAAATACCACTCAACCATTGTTTCTTAAGGCAATATTGTTTATCTCTGGCAAGGTGTCCCTTTGTTTGTGTGTTGGTTTGTTTGGATCTCCCCAAAACCTAAAGGATGGGGTATGGGTCAGGAAAGAACCCAATAAATGCTGGTGTGGATTCGGATCAAGGAGCTGATCTAGGATTTTTTTTCACTTTCTTCTTTGTAAGATAGGGCGTCAACATTGGACTTGATTTGGCAGAGAGTTTGACCAAGGAGGCAAGGATCCAGAAACATCACTTCACATTGAGTGCTACAGATGAGGTGTCTGCTCACTGTGTATCCAAGTGCTAAAAAACAGGTCAACTAGACTTGGTTGAGTTAAACCTGGATGAGTGAGAATCTCCACAGACATATCGCCAATGTTGTGTTTGCACCTTGGCCTAAAAAGAGAATGCAACAGTAAAAGGATTGGACCCTCTGTGGTGCTCCATGGTAGAGCTCCTGACCCAGCAGCCCCAGACTCACAGACTGTTAATCTCCCCCGCTCCGCTCCCTGGAGCCCGACCCGTGGTTTTGTGGAAACCCTGTCACTGCTCAACAGTTTGACTTTGCTTTTCAGACTTGTTATTTCCTTGTTTCTCCATTTGCTCATCACTGTCTGTTTTAGTTTCTTTGCTCTCACATACGCTCTTTGTTTAGCGTTCACAGTTTCCTGCTGCTTACTGTCACAATCTTTGCTGTCTTAAGCCTCTCTTCGTCTTTTTCCTCACTTCAGTTTTTCCTCTTTTGTGCCCACTGAGCCTTTTATCAATTTGACTATATCACAAACACTTTGCAAATCAAAAACTTCATAGGGCTGAAATGCTAGCTGGTAGGGAGCCATGTGCAGTTTCTTTTATTTTGAAAGTAGCTCCCCTGAAAATACTTATACATATTTTTTGATGTAATTTTTTAATAGCATGGGGTGTAATAACAAAGAAAGCAGTGTTTTTCTGTCATACAGGGAGCATAACGCCTTTTTCACCAGAATGACTGCAGACGACATCCAGAAAAGTCTGCATGAGGCCTTTAGAGCGGCTGACGTTTATAAATCTTCAGCTCAGTGCGGTTTTATGACTAAGAGAGTGAGTCAAAGGCACCAGTTGAAAGTAGGACATGTTTCTGTTACTGAGAAATGTCAACTCTATCTTTGGTGTGGAGCAGTCAGTGCTAAAGCTGGGGGAAGTGACTTTTTTGGGGGAGCCATTTTGTATTCTGTCAGGCCGCTGGGGGGAACCTGTTAGCGGCGAGGAAATGAGTGCGGAGCCGCTCAGCGAGGCGACCTCCATTACTTTGTGTTCGAGGCAGAGCGAGGAGTCCACAACATGAGAAAAGAATGAGTTTCTTGTTTGTGATGGATGAGGGCTGATGGAAGACAAAACATCCAGGAGGCTGGGAGATTTATGTCCAATAGGTTTTCCCACCCTGACGATGCAGTGGTGTACGCACACTGGGATATGGTGGCATGCATGTACACACACACACACACACACACACACACACACACGTTTGTACTTCTACCTTAGTGAGGATACTCATTGGCATAATGCATTCCCTAGCCCCTTACCCTAACCATCCAAACTAAATGCCTAACCCTTAACCTAACCTAACCTTATTCTAACCCTAACCTTAAAACAAAGTCTTAACCCCCAAACAATCCATTAAAGGCAGGTCAAAAGTGAGGACCGGCCAAAACGTCCTCACTCTGTTGGTTGTAGGCTCAAACTGGTCCTCACAAAGGTAGCTGTACAAGAGAACACACACACACACACACACACAAACACACGCACACACACACACACACATATATATAAATACATGCAACATCAGTAATTACAGTCACAGCATCAGCACAGGTGTGAAAACATCGAGCATCAGCGGAAATCCGAACAGAGCCACCGTGCTTTTTGTCTCCAACGCACAACAAAACACCACCTTGTGACTTTTGTCAGCCAGTGACTGCGTTTGAGGTTAAAAGCTTTGACTTCTTCTTCACACAAGCTTATTATGGCTACAATTAAAACTAATTTCGTACAATAAATCAATCAGAGCCTCGGAGAACAAACAAGTTCGGTGATTTAAAAAAACGGCTGTGAAGTGCTCTCCAAGGATTAGTCAAGAGGAGACACGTGCAGGGATCAAAGGTTAAAAGGTGTTGAAAGAAAAAAAACTGCAGATCAATACAGAGGCAGGTTAATTGAAGTTAATTATACAGTCCTTCCTGCAGCAGGTGAAGCAGATTGACTGATATGATGAGGTCAACTGAAGCTATCTGCAGTGAAGATAAATCAATACTTGATAAGTCCCTATAGGGTCGCTTGCTGTAGCATATTATTGTCATCTCATCTAGTGAAATGTCAACCTAAAGTCAGACAGAGCTGCTCCTGCATGGAAAAAGAAGGGAACCATTATTATTTGATGTTTAATATTTTCAGGTTCTTTCTATCTTTTTCTCATCTCTTTTGGTATTTGATTATTTTATCCATCTTTATTTACCAGCCTTTGGTTTCCTCATTTCAAATTTATCAGATTTACAAGTTTCCTCTGTTCCTGTTCATATTGCTTTATTCTGTGCATGGATGGGGGTGGAGATTGTTTTTATTGTTTATATTCCTTAAAGCACTTAATGCTACATTGTTTGTACGAAAAGTGTCTGAGTCTGTCAACCCCAAATAATTATTTTCAGAATCAGTGATTCATCATCTACTAAACGAATTCCTAAAATCTCCGGTCAATTTAGAATCCTAAATCAAACCAACCCCAACCTGCGCGTCTTTGGACTGTGGGAGGGAAAAACCCACACATACACAGAACATGCAAACTCCAAACAGAAAGACCCCTGCCCCAAACTTTATCGCTGTGAGGCTACGATACCAACCACTGCACCTCATGACTAGAGTCAAATCCTCCTCTACCTCATTGACAAAACCATTTAACTAGAGATAGTTCAACCAAAAATGAAAAAAAAAAACAATAGGTCGTTTTTTTATATTTAAAGAAGTAGTCCCCAGTTATTTCAATTGTTTTTGATTTAGCTGCTGTGCTGTTTACCCCTGAAACTCCAAAAGTATTTTGTGAACCTCTCCATCATCGTAGTGGTCAGTAGATAATGAGTGAATTTTCATTTTTGGGTGAACTATCCCTATTTAGTCACTTATCAAAAGCTTCCTGATGGTGCATTAACTGTGTTTTACCCATGTGGTTTTGATGTGGCAGTCCTGCTATTGATAATGATCAGTGATGCTGAGCCTCATTCACAGGAAACAGACTCAAGGTATATTGTGTGAGTGAGGGACTGAAGAGACAGATGTAAGAGTTACCTGCTCATTAAATGATTGGTGAAGTAAGACAGTGAGAAAATTAATGAAAACTCGATGAGTAGGAGATTTGCTTGTTTACATGAGGCAGGAAATGAATGTAACCTGGTAACTGTAAAACCTTTCCGTTGATTTAAAAATGGATCACGTATACACTACAATCATGCAGCCTCTGCTCAGGGGTTTAATGGTTTTTTGTGCAAACACTCCGCTCTTTAGTCGAGAGAAGGAGGCTTATTAAAATATATGTACTTTACCTTAGTTGCACTTTGAATTTAAGTATTGTGTATGGTTTTCAAGGTTGATTACTCTAATTATTTTGGGAAAGCCTGAGTTTAAGAGGTGCCAAACAAATATCTTCTGAAGACAAGCAAAGCAAGTGATGGGGTAAGAAACAAATCATTTTTAACAGTTTAGGGTTGACGGCTGGACAAGCTGTAAAAATATTAACCTACCCAGAGTTTGAATCTGGTGACCAACCGCAGGATATATATATATATATATATATATGAGGTGTGAAAATATCTCCAGGCCCAGTGATGCTCCCTGCAGAGTTTGACTTTTACACATTTCTGTTGAATCCTGCACTTTATTTTTCATCAGTATAGAGTCTGTGTCCTGTGCTGAAGTTGAGTTTTTCTTTTCATTCTAAAGTTCTCCAGTCACAGCAGTATTAAAGTTTAAGAACTAATCTGTTGGATGCCATTTTTTAATTACTTACATTTCCACGTAATAGAGAAATGTAAGGTCTTGGGGGTGAAACGTGGTACTGGACCCTCCCTAATGTGATACAAGGCAGCGAGTGTTACTGGATCAATTGACTTTCTTGGAATCACTTATTTGCTGGCCGACTCCTCAATGCCAACATCTGACAGTCTGCGGCTTTGGTGTAATTTGGGTGTTAGACCGATTCTCCAGCCAACAGCCAACTTTCTTAACACCGGCTGAAAAAAAGAAAAACCCCACAGCAATTACCCTTTAAGGTGTGCTTGATTTATTCTACAGTAACCCGCGACATTCAAACACTCCCAGGATGAGATTAATGAAGTGGTCGGCTTTCTTTCTCCCCTCAAACATCTGAAAGGTTCTCGAGTTCACCTTTGCACCTGTCTAAGAAAATTGGACAGTCAGCAGAGAAGTGAGCGAGCGTGAGAATGTATAGATTTATGCGTGGGAAAGAGAAGAAAAATTGAGTGAGTATAGAGGAAGGGAAATGAAGAGGAGACAGAGAATGACTTTTAAAGACTCAAATTCAGAGGATAACTTCGACGTTCTGCTTTGCTATAATACTATAAATGGCCCTGAATTGATGATGTGAGTTGCCACAGACTCCAGTCTCTCTATTCTGTGACCTTTAGACCGTAACATGAGATCAACAACACTGGAGACTCATATAATATCAAAGAATGACAAGGACAAACCCAAGGTAGGATCACAGAGTGTGGGAGGTGGAGAGAGACATGAAGAAGCGAGGGAAGAGGAATAGAGGAGGTGAGAGAGGAAGCAAGAATGAGACTGGATAGGAGAAGACACAGGTGGTGTAAGTGGAGTAGGAGTGAATGAACCGTGGTGTGAACTATATTCACTAAAACCTTCTCCAGCACGAGTTGAATCTTAAATGATGGATTGCAGTGATATGAGTCATTCTTGCTATTTTTAGCGGCTGAAACGAGAGCACTGTCTCTGAGCTGAATGTATGTATGTGTGAGTATCACATCATTACACAACCACACACAGGTTTGTGTTTAGTGCTCCTGTAGTCTCATGTGGGATCATACACAAGCATCAACAAATACGCCTGGCGTCCACACTGCTCTGGAGTGTCAGAGCCGCTAAAACGGAGAGGTTTGGAGACGCTGCTGGCCTCATTTTAGTTTGAAAACTCTGAGGCTGCATTTTAGTCTGGACGGGCAGGAACAGGAAAAAGTTGGAAAGTATTACGTAGACTCTCACAACCACTTGCTGACTGGGTCTTTTGGTCACCTGGTGGCCTTCACCGCTTCGTCAGGCTTCTATCACATGACCCCCCTTTCAGGAGAAAACAGCCTGCATCAGCCACAGCTACCAGTGTAGAAAGCATCATGGATTATCAATTACAAGCGTTGCTGATCCTGGTGATAACTGCTCACATGCTTAAGGGGACAAACTATCCACGTCAATACCTGTGTCCCGCTTGACACGCGTGCCTTCCTGTTTACATTGGCACCCACATGTATGTGTGTGCCCAGCGTACGTGAGTTGTCACGTGATATGCGTTTTCAGGTGAGCCAATAAGGTGTGAATCATAAAACTTTTCAGCATCATCATTTTCAACAACTGCAACGTAGCAGTGAGGATGTAGCCTCCGTGCAGAGACTAACCTGTATCCCTATAGACGATCGAGGTGTCTTCAGGTACTCCTCGGCCTTGGACACCAGGATGGCCTTGTCGCAGGTGAGCACAGAGCTGTGGCTGTCTGTGGACGGGTGTCTCTTTCCCACCATGACCCCGGCTGCCTCCATGGCTATGGTCACAGCTTTAGCGCTGTCCAGGCTGTCGGTGGAGTTGTAGAGACCCCGGCCTGGACTAAGCCCCAGGCTGAGACCGTCAGGGGCCCACATCCCACCGTGAGGGTGCCTCCCATCGTGGTACGCGTCCTGGGTGGACTCGGTGCTGCTCTGGGCTGTGATGGAGATGAGGGGTTTGGAGGTGGTGCGCGGGGGGACCGGAGGGGGGGTCTTCTTGTAGTTGGGTGTGTAGGTGATGGCTGGAAAATGAGGAAAGACACTCTGATTAAAGACAAGTAACAAAACAGCCTTGATTTGTGACAGTGGATTTTGCAGATTAAAGGTTTTAGTAATTTTTCTTAAGCAAATTAAACAAGAGTTTAAAGCACATGTAATGAGAGTGACTGCACATTTGCTGCGGATTAACACACATTTATGCTCAAGTTAGTTTTACACAAGCAGAAAGTTATTTGGAATCGACTCAGAAGTCCGTACCCGTATTAATCGTAACAAAGGAACATATTGTAAAGTGTAAGTGTGCCATGTCCATGAGACAGGCTCAGTGATAGTCACTAATAAGACCCCAAACTGTGAGGTGCACAGAGCATCACGAGAAACACACAGCAGCGAGCAAAAAAACTTCAATCTCATTAAAAACAATTCCCGAAATATTTAATTGCATAAAAATAAGCTGTGACCTCTGACCTTTACAAACACATCATGAACACAGTGGGTATGGTCTATTGTTGCATTTGTCTTCCTTTGATTGTAGAATGTTTCACCTAAACATCATGTATGGAAGTTTTGGGAAACATTTCATTTTGTTGTTAAAATTTTAAGTTAAGGCCTATTATAGGGGAAATGCTGGTGTGACTCAGTGATGTGTTTCAACAGTTTGGAGAAGAATCACACTTGTTGGTTGAAATGATAAAATCATGGAACATCATCAGATTCATTTGGTAAATTCAGCTCCACCAACTGATTATTTAACATGTTTTTTTTTGTGATGAACAGTGATTTCCCTTCACCATGACACAAACTGTGTGTTGTTATTCCAAAATATGTTGCATCCCATAATATGCAGTACAGACATCATCAGCTGTTACAAGAAAAGATGACTGGGATAAATATTTCTCTATCACTCCATATTACTGCTTAATGAATGCACCATCATTAATTAATGACCTCATTCGAGCTGATAGAGGATGGTGAATATGATGATGGGACATGAAGCGAAAACACTATTTGTTTCTGTGTGTAAGTATTAACTTATGGCACATAATAAAAGGTGAGTTCATCATTTAAAATTCTCTATTGTTCCCGATCATGTTGTTGATCTGAGCTCGGGGGCTGAGTGAGTACTTTGTGTTTGAGAGGTGTGTTTTGCCTCTTCACTAGTCCGCTGCAGAAACCTCTTTCCTCTTTTGTTCTCTGTCAGTGAGAACAAAGGGCAAGGACGGATAAATAATGGAGTAAAGTCTATAAAGTAAGAGAGAACATCAAAGCATTCGGGACACGAGACTCTCATCAGACGTGGACGATAGAGAAAAACTAGAAGTAATCAACAGTGCTTGTGACGCCCGAGCATGGCTGACAACTCTCATCTTCTTATTCCGTCCATTTAATGGCAGACAGAGGGGAGATTACTCCCTTTCAAGTGCAAATGAGAATATGGACCTAATCCGCAGAGAGGTGGATTGAGGAACGGGTCACGGATGCCTTCTAGGCTTTGACGTGTCTTTATTTTCAGAGCCAGGCTTTGAGAGGAAAGCTCGCTCGGCGTGGGTTACCGGCCGAAACATCTGAGGTGAAAGCTGTGTTTCAAATGTTGCGATCAAAGCTGAGAGTGTGCCAGGTTACTCTGAGCCAAGAAGAGAGAGAGAAAGAGAGGGGGGGAAGAATAACAGTGAGTCACGCTGCGGGTTAAGTTATGGGTTATCCTTTTCCCTGACAGAGAGGTGAACGCTGTTGAACTCTGCTTCCGTTCCTGTCTTACAAATGCTTACATCACACAAGGCAATTAAGGAAGTCCTTATGAGACTGAAAATGGTCTACTCTGAGTTCTAATGAGCTGCAAGAAGTTAGGGCATTGAATTAATAGCATTTCACTCTAATTGAATTGTAGCCTGAACAACACAATTACAGAGAAAACATAGGGATGTATTTTCTTTTGTTTGCAACCCATTTTTGAAAGAGCATCTGTTTGGATCAAAACAAAACCCTGAGCTTCACCTCAAACATCTATTAGCCCATCTCTGTCTGTTTATAAATAGTTAGAGACGTCTGGTCTATGTAAAGCATTCTGCTGCTCCGGGTGCTAAATGACGCACACTGCCGTCCATTCAGAAAATTTGCTTCCTCATAGATGACGGGATGCATTAGTGGGGTAGATGAGGTGAGAGAGCACAGAGATGCAGAGGTAAGAGAGAGAGAGAAAGAGTGGGAAGGAGGGCGGATCTGTGCAGACAGGAATAGCGAGGGGGAGGGATTTTGTGTTTGTGTGTGGAGGAGAGAGAGGAGAGATCAGGAGGAGAGAGAGATGACCCATTCAGGGGGCATGATTCAGCAGAACGACCAAAATAGAGCTATTATTAGCTCCAGCCAGTGGAGCATGGGGGAGTCATTATTCCTGTGCCCTTCTCAGCATTTATTCAACCTGCTCACTCACTCACTGAACAACGTTCTGTGATAAATGCACCACTGTGACATGAACAAAATGAAAATTAGAGGCATTAGTGCACAAAAGCCTCCAAAAAATATAAATCCACGTGACGTGATCCACGTTTGTGTGTTAAGACTGTGGATACCCGACCCGACCCAAACCAAGCCCGACAGACCAGGCAAGTTTAGGTTAAGATTTTGACATGATTTTTGGGTTCGTTGACTCTCCTTAGCTTGACAGATTTAATGCACTGCACAGGTTTCGGGGGAAACGAGTATTAACAATTAAAGTCCGCGACAGGGTAAGACGTTAATGCATCTGGTTGCAGGTCTGGTTTAGACACAAAAACAGAATCACTTTCCTCAAACTGTCCATTGCTGCAGCTCCTCTTTTCAGCCTCTGTCTGAAATACTTGGTTTTAGCTCCTGTCTTTTTAAGCCCCCCCCCTCCCGATAAAGCCCAGTCTGTCTTGATTGACCAGCTGGTCCACTCTGTTGTGATTGGACAACTGCTTCCAGCGTGAGTAGGACATGTTTGCATCCTCTCTTGCTTTACTTGGCTTTGTTAGGGGCTGTGCCAGACTTGCTGCTTGGACTGTGTAATGCAAATATGATACATTGTGACATCATGTGACATCACAATGATACAGAAGTAGTGTTTCAGGAGTTTCAGGAGCTTTCTTAAACATGTACTTTGCATGTACCAACCTTGCTTATAACTGTGTCAGATCAGAAAATGGTTTCACATTAGCAGTGGTGATTTGTAGTGGAAAATGTGACAGATGTTAATTTATCATTTAAATAAGACAAAATGCAAAACCTTCCTAGAGGACAACTCATCAGGTGATGTGGAATGAAATTTAGAAATATAGTTTATAGTCCGTATCTATGGTTAGAAGGTTATAGAAAAGGTCTAAGTCCATGGTTTACTGTGTCTTATCAAACATTACCTCAAACATGTGCATTACTTACATTTGGTCTTAGGGTTTGTGGAAGAAAAAAACTGGTTCTTTTTCCAGCAAAGATTTTAGCCAATCTCTGTGCATCTAATTTCTTCATGAATACAACAAAGCTTCAGTACAACACTGTATTACTTGGGTTAATCGATTCTCACCAATTTGCTGAGCTGTATCCCCTATTGATCAATATAATTGTGTTAATCTTTTACATTTCATTTCATTTAGCTTTTATCCAAAGCAACTTACAAGAAGTGCATCGACCATGAGGGATCAAACCCAGAACAACAAGAATCAAGTAAGTAAGTGCAATGAAATAGCAAATAGTTGTGATTTTGTTTGGTGGTTTGCTCACAGTGAGGGAGCAGCAAGTCGACTGGCAGATGCAGAGTGGATGGGCTGGGGTGTATGGTTTGACCATTTCCTGGATGTAAACTGGACCCGATCCATTCACAGCACGGTACGCAAGTACTAGTGTTTTGAAACGGATGTGGGCAGCCACTGGTAACCAATGAAGGGACCGGAGGAGTGGAGTAGTGGGAGTTAATTTGGGTAAGTTAAAGACCAGTCGAGCTGCTGCATTCTGGGTGAGCTGCAGTGGTCGGATAGCACTAGCGGGTAGACCAGCCAGGAAGGAGTTGCAGTAGTCTAGGCGTGAGATGACCAGAGCCTGGACTAGAACCTATTCTCCTGATGTTGTGCAGCATGTATCTACACCAGCGGGTTGTTGCAGTAATGTTGGCAGTAAGGGAGAGTTGAATCTTCAAGCAAAGCAGTGTGTGCTTCTCATTCTTTGTATTTGTGCACATTAATTCAGCACGCAATCCACAGCAAACATGGAAATATCTTTGTCCTGTTGGTACAAGAGCATCAAATCAGAAAATGCTTTGTTTGTTGTTCTGAAGGACAAATACAAACGAAGCAATTTGTCTTTCAATTTGAAGAACTCCGAAGATCTGTTGCAAATATAAATATGTCAAAGTCTAAACTTCATTTCATGAACTTTGTATAACTGTGTGGTAATAGACATCGCCACCAGGGTCTTCCCAGAGCAGCCAGAGACAAACCAATCACTTTTTAATATTCTTTATTTTCTTTTCACCAAACATAAATTCAAACTCAACTCAACTTAAAGGGTCGAGCTATTTCATGCTGGCCTGGCAGCTCAGCTCAATCTTTTCTATGCGTCTGTCATGCTTCTCTCCTTCCCATGCGCGTCCCTGTGTCTCTCTCTGGCAGCTCTGCTGCTGCCTTTTAAACATGAGGATCGATCAGCTAACAGCCCTTAGCTGCACTGATTGATCCTCTGGTACAGGTGGAGGTGCTCTCTCCTCCACCTCCATGCCCACAAACTGGTTGTCAAACTGGTCGATGTAATATTGCAAGACATACTCGTCAGTTCAGACAACTCTTGACTCGGGGGAGTGGGAAACATGTCACACATCTAAGGTTGAATTAATCAGATTTATGAAGGATCAATTGGCTTGTTTTGAAGGTAGCAAAGCGACCAGTATTCAGATGAATTCCATTAGAAAACTGACAAGTGAAGTAAAAGATTGTCAGAAAGAATAACGCTCTCCAAACAAATTTGTCTGTCAAATCTGAAATATGTCAAAGATGATCTTGCTCTCTTGCCATATGTCATGAGAAATTAAAAGAAAAATAAGATTCTTGTCCTTTTTGTCACGTCAATAAAATCCAATTAGAATCATCATGTCACAACCAAATACAATATAAAGACTCTTTATAAAAATGGACGTACACTCAGGAAAGTGAAGCCAATGCCTGAAAGTGCCTGAAACATGTATTCTCTAAAATGGACAGCAGAATGCTACTCAGCTGGTTACAATTTGTTGCATATATAGAAAATGACCATACTTCTCATCATTTATAATGTTAGTAAACATTTTCATACAGAGTTTATGGTTTTAATCACTAGTTTCAAGTCTTCAGTTTAGCATCATGTTCCATATATAAAATATGGTCCCATTTAGAGTCAAATAGATGATATGTATTGGGGCAAAAATACCGTGTCATTGACACCTAGTAGCATCCAATGGGTGCAGATCACAGGTGTCTACTGCCAAATATGGTTACTTGTGCTTTTAAAAAACCAAGATGGCGTCGGCCAAAATGCCAAACTCAAGGTTTCAGATGGGCAGTTCGAAAACCAATGTGTGATGTCACTGTGGGTTAACATTGGCTTCCCCAGAGCGTGTTCAGTTGCCAAACTCGCCAAGAACATTTTTGGCTATCAGAGGATGCTTGATGTAAAAATGTTTGTGGACCAGTGTTTCATATTTTGCTCACATTGTGCATATTCCTCAACAAAATTAACCTGAAATTAATTCACACATGAAGTCTGGGCCAAGGTAGAACAAGTAGTAAACGGAGTACAAGTGCAGTGGAGGGAAACCCCCAAATATGATACTCTGTAGCATGCAAGAAAACAACACCTACAACTGCAGATGTACCAAACATCTCCCTGACAGCAAGATGAACAAAATGTCTCCTTGTGTGCAGGGGAAGTTTGAATGATAGAGGTTGCTCAGAGGTTGCTAAATGTATCTGGTACAAATACTCGACTTAATCTCTCCCTCACATACACACACACACACAGACTGTGCCTGTGTTGATTAACGCAAGACACAAAGGTAGTGATTCCACCACTCCATCTCTGTTAGGACCTCTCTATCTATCAGGAACTGGCTTCTATGCTAACATGAGGGTGGGGCTGGCAAAGGGGGGGATGGCAGAGTGCAGTTGAGTGACGTGTCATTAAGAGTCTTTCTCCCCGATTGGATTTATCACTATAAATGCAGCAGAGTTTGTTTTGCAGCAGGCTTTTAAGGATATGCAAATGATGAGATCGAGGGAGGGAGGGGAGGAACGGAAGATGGATGGTGAGATCAATTATTGGCGCCGTCACTGTGTTGCACACAGAAACAATAAAGAAATTAATATAAAAATAGAAACAATAGAGAGTAAAAACAAGACTACGTGAGTGCAAGTGAGTTTGTTGAAGTTTAAAAGTTGCGTTGAAATGGAACCCTGAGAACAACCAACCCAGCTGCAGCAAATATAGTCACTTCATAGCTAGTTTTCCTTTTTTTTGGGCTCGCCTCTATTGCCTCTGATGTCGTCCTGCTGTTTATGAAAGTCACACTGCCGACTCTGTCTTTACGTAATGGCTGCTGCCGTCTGTTAGGGAGCAAATCTCTGCTTAAGCTCCTGGTGGCACGCTGAGCAGCATCTGCACGTCACACCGGAGATGCATGTCCCTGTGGTCCTAACCCTAACCCTTTTAAGAAAAACAAACTGGCTTCTTGTCAACTAGATGGATCACCAAAACACCAGATGGAAGCTAATAATAGAAGCATTCAGAGGTTGATGTGTACATGCGGGTCTGTGCTCATGTTCTGCTGCCGGATTTTTGAGAAAGGGCAGGTTTGAAAATGTGATGCAATCGTAAATATGTCAGGCAACAGCAGAGGAGGCACTCTCAACAATTGAGAGTCTGTCAAGACTGTGGTCTCTCCCTCAATCAAAAGAGCCAGGTGATTTAGCTGCAGTGGAGCAACTGTGTTTTCCAGTCAATCCAGCTACTGTAGGGTCAAGTGCTTCATGAATCAACAAAGAACACGGGGGAAGATACTGACAACTGGTCAAGTTGCACCAATACAGAGGTCCGCCATTTGCAAATAAAAGTATCACATCAGTTGTGTCCCAATTCAGGGGCCATATCCTGAGGCTTGAACACTAGGCTGTTCCATTTCGAAGAATCCTCAAAATATGGCAGACAAATATTAAATAACTAGTACTTTCACACCCATGAAATGATGGCTATGGGTGGAGCCTTCACAGGCCAATCAGTCCCAGGATTCAACAGCTTCAGTGACAAACTGCCTTCCGCTCATAAAACAATCACTTCCCTTGGCAAAGCAAAACTCCTGTGTGGGTTGGCATCGAGATAAACTTCGGTGAACTTTGACCCGCAACATTACACTGCATTCACATATGTGACCTTACCTTTATTCAAAGAGATAATGGAAGCGGCAAGAGATGAGATGATGCTTACACTTTTACACTTCAACTGTATCAGGCTTGAATTCAACCGAACAGCTAATGTTAAAATAACAAGGGGAATCAAAACTTTCTTGTCGTGTCCAACTGCACACTCTTCAACATTGGTATGGATGGGACAAGCTGGTAACTTAAATTGTGGAAGTCCTCCCAAGACCAAATCATTGAATATCGGTTTGGCCTTCGTGGGCTGTGTACACACAATCTTCCAAAAGAGGTGGCCCTGAACTGTGACACAGCCATTGTGTTGGTAGCTTGTAGTCCATTAATCATACAGCTTTGATAAAATTCAGGTTTTTACAGCAGCTTGCTACAGGACAACTCACGTTCCATGAAGCTAATTTGTCGTGCCCTAAGAAGGAGCAGTGGAGAATGGCCCAGGTAGCAGGTTTACCTGGGGTTTGCTGGGGAGTCCGATCAATGCTGCAGGTGGAGGGGAGGCAGAACTGGATCCCTGAAAACAAGGGAGCGGGGTGGATGTTCAGAAGAATGGGCGTATCTGCCCAAACAAACAGTACAGTCTATCAACATTACACAAGGAAGAGTGGATCCAGGGAGATATGGCAGGCAGTGTGGATCATCCTGCACCGTGGGTTGTACAGCAAAATGACAACAGAGAAAATACTATTCTAAAACATGGCATCACTAGGGCAGAACACTGACTAGAAAGTCTAAGAACATACAACATTAAATGAACATCTGGTTCAGAGAGTGACTATTGCAGTTAGGATTTACCATCAGTAATAAGCATTCATAAAGATTTTATTTCCCTGTACAGTTTTTTCCATCTTTGAATGATCATTATGCCCATACTTATGTTGCTTATTGTTCAACATGTTTGAGCATACAGGTTGCGAACAGGTCAACACACATCCAACCTGACTCTGACACTGCTCCAAAATTATTTTTAACAACCACTTCAATAAAGTGAGGGTCTGCATATATTCTGTGGATTAGCAGTGATGTGTGTGGCTTCACAGCTGACCAGGCATCAATGGAATTAGCAGAGCGGTATATAAATTAGGATTCATACTATGTTTTCATTGTTGTTTGTCTGTCCATTTTTGTAAAAGAGTGGCATATGGCCCCAGGCAGATCCCATGAACTACAGAGTGGATTTAATAAAGGGGCTAATCCAGGATTTTTTTAAACTTTCTTTAACATGCAAGATTTGTAAATTTCTTAAGAAATAATACAGAGAGCTTTATTAAAATAATCAGGCATATATAAAGAACTGATATCAATAATAAATGCATTCTAATGTTCTCGTGAGTATTTTCTAAAATGCTTCTCGGTCAGTACTCAATCATTTTGCCTCTGAATTAGACAGTTTGGCTTCTTCACTTTGCCTAGTTTCGTCCTACATCAAGAAAATGTGCTCTTAATGGGTGCTAACAATGGCTATAACAGATGCTATAACCATTCAATATGTGAAAAGGGCTGGGCAAAGTGAAATGATCATATTATTTGATATTGTTCCTCCTACGAATGTGTTCACAAAGAATGACAATGGATATACACAGAGAGCAAATCAAGAAATTATGTAAATTGAAGAAGGGCAATTCATTAGTTAACCATGTCATTGAGGTCATTGGCTTATTTGTCTTTTAATAATATAACAGTAAATCACGTGTTATTACAAACACACCTTGCATGTCAAGTTTACTCTGCAAACCTTCAATTAGGCAGAAACTCCTCAACTACTCAGCAGCACTTTTCCCTTTGTTCCAGAGTTCACAGCAGAAAAAAAAAACTTTTTATCATATACCAGTATCGCTCATTGCATGATCAAATCCTGACGCCATTTATTCTCAGACAACCACTTATGAAGAAACAACATCTCTGCAGTACAGGTTAAATTTGCTGCTTTTATATGAAGATTTTGCGAACGCAAAGTTAAACGTGTAAGCGGCCCAGGGAAGAAAAGGCTGGTGCGTTTTTTTATGCCAGCAAAATGAGAAAGAGTAAAGAAAAGAATAAAACAATACAACCTAATTAACTTCCCTCTCCTTTGAGAACCCTTTCAGATTCAGTCAATTTAGCAAACTTTCATAAAGTGCTCTGCGCAGATTTAATTTAAAACAACACACAGGAAGAGGGTCCTTCTCTGGCAGCTCACTGATGTTCAGCTGAAAGAATCTTTTTGTTCCAGTGCACTTTATTAGAGCACAGACTCCAGTGGCGGATCCTATACAGAGCCTATTAATTGGACAGAGAGCACAGATACGCTTCTTGTGATTTGCCTGACTTTAGCGGTTCAATGCTGGTAACAGAAGTCTGCGTTTTCGATGGTATGTAGGATGCATTCATTGCACTGATTATCAAAATGAAACCATGAATAGAACCAAACACGTACAGTGAGGCACCCTGTATGAAATGCACAAAATATTGAGGCCATCTGTCATGCACCAATATAACATAGTGTTCGTCACGTTTTGAAAAATAGCCACACAAGGATGTACGCCTCTTTTCAGGAAGAAACACGATTCAATTAATCACATTACACTTACTGTATGTCCCCATTGTATTACATTCTCAATCTTTGATTCCTGAGCATTAAGATGATATATCATGATAAAAAATACAATATCACCTCACAACAAGGCCTGTTATTACTGTCGTCAGATAATCAGACACATGTAATCACATTTTTTTTTCCATATTTCTTAAATAGATGTATTTATACATATTGTCCAGCAATGATGTCTGTGTCCAGTGTATGTGCATGAAGGTACTATGAGGTTATGAGGCTACATACCATAACTCTTATAGTTCATAATTATATTTGAATAATTTTCTTCCCACCAATAAAGAGTACAGTATTCTGTCGATTGTGCAAACACTATTCCACAGTATCATTTCCCTTGTCTTTAAAACTGCAGAGTCCTCCCAGCAGCTCACATAGTAAACAGTATGTCCTAGTAGTTATATAATAACTGCCAACATTTACTTCACTCCACATTGGAGTGAAAATAAACACAGAGCCCAAAACAAGTTAAGCAAAGTAAGGATTGCCTGGACCTTGCATACATTTGGCCATCTTCTCTGTAGCCTATAACAAGAGCTCCAGACGAGTCTCTTAAAATATGCGTAAAATGTCTTTGATGTAATCCACTGACTGAACATCTCTGATGTAAGCAGTTTTGTCCTGGAAGTACACATTAGTAGTGATTGTTTTAAAGGAGTTCACAGTTTTTTCTTTCAGTAAATGTGTCTGAAATTGTTCAGTCACCACATCAGAGCGTTCATCACAGTTTTGCAGTCCATGACGCATGGTCTTTTACCTACAATATCAATGCAGATTGATGAATTTGGAAGTCCTTGCTTGATTGCCAATGTTCACATGATATTTAAATCTGCACACTGCTCGCAGCTACAAACCATGAGCTGTATATATATTTTGGGCTACATTTCATCTGCTGAGAACGAGGTACGAACTCAAAGAGTGAGAGATACATATGTAATTTCTGCACTATTGTACTCGTATCTACCACTCCATAGTTCAACGCTTGCACTCCGGTGCATTGATTCTCGTCTATGGCCCCTCTTCTGCCACCTGCACCACAGAAAGGCCCTCTCACTCGATGATCTCTCAGGACTACCAGGGGTCTCTTCTTCCATTTGTTCCTCACACTCCTGGTATACAGCCATACAATGCAGTGTCTCTGCTTTAATATCATCTGGCTCCTCATGTGCCACTTCCACTGAGGATGTGACTTCAAGATCTGGCAGCGATGAATCTGTATCTGTTGAAAGCGGATCTGAGGCTGTATTTGTGGGTCCAAAATCCAGTTCCAGTGACATATCTGGGGATACAGAACTAGGAGGGGATATAGTAACAGTGATCTGGGAAAGTGGTACTTGGTGTAGCTCCAAGGCAATATCCTGAGGCAAGTGAGATAGGAAATTGTCCATGGCTGGATCCAAAGAGATGGATTCTGTTAACTGTGGAGGATCCAATGGGCACAGCGTGGCAGGGTCATCAGTGGATATGGGTAAACAATCTGACTGGTATAAGAGTGGGTCTAAATTGTCAGCATTAGAAGGAGAGTCGTCGCTCAGGTCAAATGGCTCTGGTTCAGGGTCCATGAATACTGAGTCAAGATCATCTTGATCTAGGGAAGTCAGCATGACTAAGTCAAAGTGGACCAGATCAGCGTGATATATGGAAGTGTTATCCAATGGTTCTGGAAGGGGTGGCCACTCCGAGTCTAGGGAGTCTGGCTCAGTGCTTGGTTGAGTTTCTTCTGAAATGGAAGCAAAGGTTGAAACCAGCATCATTTGCTCTGGGGGAGGGTCAAGGGGATCATCTGGAAGGGTGATAATGGGATCTGGATTTGTGTCACTGTCAGTTGGACTTCCAGGAGAGTCTGYGTCAAGGTATTCYGACACCACAACTGGATCTGGATTTGTGTCACTGTCAGTTGGACTTCCAGGAGAGTCTGCGTCAAGGTATTCCGACACCACAACTGGATCTGGATTTGTGTCACTGTCAGTTGGACTTCCAGGAGAGTCTGCGTCAAGGTATTCTGACACCACAATGGATGGACATCTGATGTCACTCTCTAAATTAAATAGTCTAACAGCAGCCAGATTAGAAGGGTAATCACAGGTTGTGAGTGGCTCTGGATTCATTACATCAGATGAAGATCCAACAGATACATCTGATGGTTTTGGTTCGGGTTCTGTTGATTCGGCAGGATCTTCTAATCCTGAATATACAGTAGTGGGATCTTCAAATACTGGATCTGGCTGGTCCACAGTGTTAGGATCTGTAGACTCTGAATCTGACATGATACCATATTCATATTCCTCTGGTGGAGACACAGTAACAACAGGGACTGGATATGGTAGCTGTATCTTATCTCTTTCAATTAGTTCTATATCTGGGGATGCCATGACATCAGGATGAGATGGTTCAGTATCTGAATGGGACTCACTAGCTGGGTTTATATTTGTAAGTTCAGAGGTGATTGGTATTTCTTGTTCCACTGTGCCTGAATCCTGAAGGCTTTCAGGGGTTGTTTCTGACAGAAGTGGCACTGCACCATGAGTTGTAACTGGATCATTAATGACAATGTCAGTTGGATTTAAAATTGCATGGTCTGGTACGTCTGGTTTTGGTTGTGGTTTATCTCTGGAGGGCAAAGCAGTCAAGTCAAACGGCTCCAGTTGGACTGTTCTAACAGAGCCTGGAAGTATTGGATCCAGAGTAAGTGGTATGGCACTCTCTACATACATTGACTGTGGACAGGCAAGAATGCTTGGGTCCATTGAGAGCTGTTTTGGCAGATTTCGACGGGCACTTTTCTTTTCCTCATTCTCTTCTGGACAATTGACCGCAGCATCTGCAGTGCTCTGACGAACGAGGACCTTGCTTCTGGCCTGGGTGCCCACAGACACTTTGGATACTTGGGGTCTCTTTTCTCGAGCTCCCCCAGTGCCTCTATCTACTGAAGAGGTTCTGAGTCCTTCTGCCCCTGCTGCTCCTGCACCTTCACCTGCACCTGCACCTGTCTCTGCCCCTACCCCTGTCCATACCCCTACCCCTGCTCCTGCCCCTGTACCTGCCCTTCCACCTGTCCCTGCCCTTGCTCCTGTCCCAGATTCAACCCCTCCTCCTAAACCTACCCCAGCTCCACCTGTCATGTGGCCACCCTGAGGAGACCATGTGTTGTAATGCTGCGTGAACGTATTGAAATTACTGTTGAAAGCACGGAGCTCTTTACAAAGGTCCCTCCTGAGATCAGCAAGCTCTCGACGCATGGCCGAGACCTCTTCCTTCCACTGCATGCTGATAGCTGCAGCCAAGGTAGCTGACTCTTTGATACTGGCCTGGATGGCTTTTGGTGACGGTCGTTCTGGGGCACTAGATCTTGGTGATCTGAAGAGGCTTGGAGAAACAGGTGGTCCAGACAGAGGTTTGGCTGTAGCCCCCATGTCATCTTGTTGGTAAAGCCTGTCTCTTCTGATGGGGCAGCCTAGATCATCATGAGCCAAAGGGGCTGTGTCTGCCAAATCCCCATGTATACTGGTCTGGTCAGGTAAACAAGAGTCTTCCTGCACATAATTTCTGTCTGCAAGACAAATGTAAATATGTATCTGTGATATTGCCAAAGGTGTGAGCAGCTGGAGAGAATGTGCTTTTAATTGCCACAAAGCAATAACATGAAGTCATGCACTGAATGCCATGAGTCAAAATAAGATAAGAAAGGAAATCTACAACAGTTAGGTGCTAGTGTTATCATTTTTGCCCCAATTCACTCATCTGTATACCTTAGATGTAGAGTAAAGATTTTAATTATTTGTAATACTATTATAAATCACAGTGTTGAAAACCTGTGTAACACAGAGAGAGGGCTCCCATTTTGACTCATTTTCATCAATGGTTTACACTGCCTTCTCAACCTTCATTTGTAGCATGCAATCTTCACATCTTTTCAATGCACAAAGCTGAAGCTCATAGCTTCCGGAACACATCACAGAGAATGGACAATGTTTCTAATAAATGAGGTGTAAGAACAACCCTTGCATGCTCTTCTGCTTTCATTTGAGATAAAGCAAAATGTACTTTGTGCAATGAAAAGAGGCAAAGATGAGCAAAGCTTCAAAACATTTTCTCAAAAAATCAGGAAGTATAGTATGAACCCTATTGAAAATATGAGGTCCAGTTTGATCGATTCATTCAAAGCACTACCTGCCCAATGTCCAAAAAAGGGCAAAATCCATCAAATACCAAACTCTGCATCCTAAAAATGCAAACATATTTGAGTTGACTGAGAAAGCAGTGTAAGCAAACATTTATAGGTATGAAGAATTGATATTAAGCACATCTCCAGGTGTCCACACCTCTAACCCTCCCTATTATAGGATGACTGTTGTTTTTAGTTCATGAATCTACTGTGGGAAGAGGTGGAATCCGCTCAGACTTCTTGTCCAGAAACTGTCTTCTTTTCTTCCCACATTCTTCATCTGCACACGGACGTTATCATGTCCTCTGTGAATCCAGCAACCATGGGAATTGTTGAAACCACCACCAGCTTACAATTTAACATCAAGGCTCAGTACCCCAAATAAATGCATGAATCAGCTAAGTAGGTTTAGATTTATTGCAGAAAGTTTGCATATGTGATTTATGTGACTGACCAGTGGGACACTTCAGTTAGCGATATATTCATTGCCAGCTTTACATTGTCCATTGTCCACACTATTGTTTGGACACAATAGTTTGCAGCTTTGTAATGAGATCTCATTGTGTGTGAACATGAGCTTTACAATAAGACAGTCATTTTTATGAAGTGAACAATCTCTGGGCAAACAAATTTCATAGTGTATGGTGTGATATTTGAGTGTCTGCAGCACAGTGTAGACAAACAAAGAATGCAAACTTTGCATATGGAAATTTCACCAGTTTGCAACAAAGCTGTAGGTACGTTAACAAGTGTCACCATGTGGCCTCATAAAAAAAAAAATCACATTGCCAAAATATAGCAGAAAAAGTAGTCATGTCCATATTCTGACCTGATAGTTCAGATAATGTCCAACTGTGATTTTCAATAGGGTTCATTGCTTTACTCTCTGATGCATCCAATGGATGAGCAGATGAAGCACTGTATCCAAAATACAGTAGGATGAACTGGTACAGCTCACAAGTGATAGCTACGGTAGACCTCCATCAAAAACAATGGAAACATACAGGAGTGATTCATGCAAAGATACAAAGCTGTTTGACAGCACAACCGGTTTGCAACTAACTGTTCTATATTCATCCATTACCACACATCAATGCCATGTGTAAGCTTTTGGTGTCACTTCGACTCAAGCAAACAAATGCCAACATCCAGGATGTTATATGTTGTATTGTTTAAATTTAAAGGTAGGTTAATCTGTCCTTACCTGTGGTGGATCTGATGGTGGAGGTGACAGTGGAGGCCATGGGGGGGATGCAGTCATCGTCCTGGGAGTAGCCGGCCTGGATGGCTCGCAGGTAGCTGTGACTGCGGGTGCGGAAGCAGCCAGGGAGGTCCAAGGCCTCCATGGCCTGGGATTCTACCTCACTGAACACCGACTCGCACACCGACTCAAACTGGCCATTCACTTCTGTTTCACTCACCTGCGAGAAACAAAAGCCAGTAGCATGTTTTCAAACCAATGGGAATATTTCTTTGTTATATATTGCTTAGTTGTAAAACCTGACTGTGTTCCCTGTATATTTCCTTTTGATTAAAACTCAATTAAATTGTGCAAAATAAAGCAGAGAAATCAAAGACAAATGTTTTTGATGTCACAAAATAGAATTTAGGAGTTTTGCTTGGAAAGTCCATTTCCACACTACTAGAAAACCCCCCAACAATGTGATGTTAGAATTCATGAGTTTGTTAAAAAAAGATTTGTTTCAGATCTATGTGATGTATTTCTGTGATATGTTCGTATGAGCAGAAAGCTGTTTGATGATTATCATTTCATTTCCATTTGGCGAAATCAAGAATCAAAGATAAACATCTTGTTCTACTGAGGTTTGGAATTAGTGGGAGTTTATTTGGGTTTTTCAGACTGAACAAATCAATACTGCTCTCATTTAAGGGAGATAAATGTCTCAACAAACACAGCTGGAGTTCTATAATTCGTACAGCTAAACATTGTGCAATGATCTATCATGTAAATAAGGCATGAGTGAAAAGCAGACGGAAAAAAATAATATGTGGGTTTTAGAAACATATCTATGAAATACTTAAGTGTTGCAGTGAGGGAAAAATCTATAATTTAAATGAAGTGGTGGAATCATTTGATTCATTTTCTCTGGAGATTCCCTGGGGCCTCCTCTGGGCCCCTCTGGGCCCCTCTGCACTCTGCGGTGTAAGAACCACTGCTCTTCCTTACATGGATTTGAGATGGAGACGGGAATCGTTCCTAATTGAAAGGGTGTACACTCACCTGGCTCACTTGGCTAACGCAGCTAGCCTGACTGAGGGTGCTGACAGCCCGCATGTAGCTCTGGTTCCTGGAGCGAAACTTGGGCGAGTTGTAGTTGGCTGAGGGATCCAGGGCAATGCTCGGGTGCATGTCCCTGGTGGCTTGCAGGTGGTAGCTCTGACTGAACAGAGAGAGAGGAAGAGAAGCAGATGGGGAGTGGGACGACAGCAATGCTGATGATTTCTTAAACTAGATATAATTGAACTTATAAACAAGTATTGTTTGATAAGTAGCTGAGAGGTGCAACATGTTGACAAAAACAATCAAGTGCTATTAAACAAAGTGGGTGTCCTCTGGGTAACCTGAACTCAAGATGGAGACTTGGTTATGACATTGTGTCCCCCAACAAGGGTGCCTTCCTCTTTCTGTTCCCCTCCGCCGCCAGTGACCTTAAAAGGTATTTTCGATTTCTGCGGTGCTGCAACATCTAATCAATGCTTGGAAATGAAAGAAATGCAAATCGGGAGCTAGTTAACGAGCAAGCACTTCAGAGAGCACTCCGGTGTCAGCCAGGTCAAATAAATGTGCTACCCCAGCATGCAGGGGCGGGAGAGATGCTCAGAGACCCGTGACTGGGTAGAAATCCGCTGGAGAGAAAATGAACGGAATGACACAGAGGGAGAAATGTGCTTTAAGTAAACTGAAGAATACTATGTGAGTCACGTTTAGGACGACCAAAGTGAGATTCCCTCAGTCAAATCTATTTGTGATGGCAGGCGGGGATGAGTAAGCAGTTTTCGGGGCTTTTTATAGAGATAAACGCTGGTGTTTGGCAGCGAGGAAAATGCCAGCGTGATTAAAAGTCCCTCAATCCATCTTGTCATGCTGTAGCGAGGCTGTGCGTTATTTGCAAAGCAATATCAACCTTCTAAACACCCAAAGACGTCCTAGAGCAGAAATATCCAGAGATTAAGATTGTAAATGGGAAGAAATCCTTTTTTAAATTATGTGGTTAATCTCTCAAAACACACAATCTAACAGTGATGCTTTCATTGTTAATATGTGAAAGTCATTAACTACCATGCTGCTGGAATGAGCAGCAGTGTTATCATATCTATAATGTGCTTAGCAGTGCCATATGCTTTGCTTCGTATGTGCAGATTGCTCCAGGTGACCTCTCACTGACTGGTCTTGAGTGTTTTGCTTTGTGAGACGTCCACATCGAATGTGTCGGCAGGGCACTGAGCCAGCTGGCGCCCAAGTCCGAGTCTGACCACTGCAACATGGCAGCAACAGGGAGGGGAGGGGATGGGGGGGGAGATGGTGGGCCTGTATTCACCTTAAGTCTGCAGCAAAATTGGTGATGTAGTTACGCATGTCACTGTTGATTCTATCCAGACGGTAAGAGCTGTGGGTAGAGAAGAAAACAGCGTTACTGGGTCCCACAGGTGGAAGTCGGATGGATGTGACGTCACCGGGACCACCTCCAATGGAGCAGGCTATTTGTGGTGCACTGAATGTTTGCTTTGGGGGGTTTTCACCAAAGTGCTGCAAACATTAGGGCGATACCATGTGACCAACAAAAGTGGGAAATGTTGCGGTTACATTAACAAAGCGGAGAGCATCAGCTGGTCGAGGCCAGATCGTCTGACTGAAGCACACGCACGTATACACACAGGGAATGAGGAGTGAATTATGAGGAAGCGCACTCATGCACATACACACTGCCCATCAGAACCAACCAAAAATGATAACAAAGCACTTGATGATGAAAAGCTGTACATGAAAAACAGTAACAGGACATCACACACCACCCATTGTTTCCCTGTGTGGCTAATTAGTTTTGGTTAATTGAGCCAAATGAGAGTTAAAACAAAGAAAACACCTCATGTCCTTCCCCAAGCAATGAATTTAGTCGAGCTTTTAGCTGACAAAATCAGATATAAGTGCTGAGGCATATTTAACCCACGGCTGAAGGAAGTGAGGCTGTTTGGAGAAGAACTCGCTCCTTTATTAAATCAAAATGTCTCTTATGTCTATGGAAGCCTGCAGGGGTCGATGATAAAATAATAATGAAAATGTAACAACTTTTCAAATGTTTTGGTTTTATACTACATATTGTATAGTAGATAATATATAAATATAATAGAATATATACTGTGTATGTTATTATGATAACCCCAAGCATTTTCGTTTTCACATATATATATATATAGCCCTTAGGTATTCCTTATAAAAATGAAAGATGCACAAGCTGTATGACAGTTAATTCATTAAAATACATACAATAATGTAACCTGATTTTCCATGTTAAACTAGCAGTACTGAAGTCACGGTTTACATTAAAATGTCATTCTCTTATAATTTGAAAATATGAATTAAAATATCTTGGCAATGTTACGGCAGGGAATGACGGGAATATTACATTTACTGCTTTACATGCTGTCAAAGTGTGTCAAGTCATACTGTGTGCTCATTTCTGAGGAGAAAGGTTCGTTATAAGTAATTTGGTTGAACAAATCATGCTGTATTGAACAAAACAAGGACAGACACCAACTCTGCTGAAGAAGAGAAATATTTACAAAAAGGGTTAAGATATACTCTTATAATAATACAGACAAAAATACAATTAAATAAAAATCAAAAACAAGTAATGTAATGAGATGTCATGTGAAAGATGGTCAACGGTCAAGTTTTATGCAAAGTCTTGTTCTACAACCTCCGCTGTTCAAAATATCCATTGCTCAGATGATTCAACTACTTGACATGTTGCATAAGAATCGCTTTGCTAAGTTACAAGTCTTTTCGTAATAATGACGTTACCTCTTCTTGGACGAGACTAACTCTGGACTAAATTAATCTAAAATGAAGCACAAAGCAACAGGACAGCTGAAAAGACAACCTTTGGGCAATTGTAACATGAATGTTACTTTCAGTCAGCTTGCTTTGGTCTTACTCTCAGGAGGAGGGAGTAAATTCCAGGAGTCATTTTGAGAGTCCATCATCCTCTTGATGCTCACAATATAAAGTTCACACTATTGATGTTAGGTGATGATATCGTCTATCCTCTCAAACTAAATGAACAGTATCTCAGTGAATCCAGCTTCTGAGTAACTCACTGCTATGAAGGGAACAAGTATCTGCAGTTATCCTGGGTTAGTAGGAGAGACTCCTCTAGATTAGATCCTGTTCAAACAGACAGCGGTCTGAAATGCTAACTGGATTTATTGACGTGATTCAGTCTGTGTTACACCTGTAACCATGGTAACTGCGCAGAAAGATAGTGACAGCCATAGACTCAAAATACCCTGAAGACGAAAATGAGATAAACAAGACTAAAATGTCTTTATTTCACCCAGACTAAAACATATGTTTATCAAAACACTTAAGGCTGTCACATTGTAAGATGTGTAACGTGTCCGTCCTGTCGCCCATGTGGGCTGCTTCTACCTTTGCTGGACATTGATTGGTTTGTAGACGGCTGGTTATCTTTGGAGAAAAATGAATGAACCTGTACCCCTTAATTTTGTTGCCACTGTAACATCATTATGGTATTACTATCATCAACTTCAGGTACAGGACTTGACACTAGTTTGAATGCCCTTGATGAACGTCCTCATTGTTCAAACATTATTCCATTGGAGACGAAGAATAGAAGCAATCCTGAGAGCCGCTTCTTTTTCTTCTTCAGTTGTTTAATGCTGTTTCAACTTAATGCCATTGGTCTAAAAGTCCAAACTTTTTGCATTATAATCAAATCGCACCATGTTTAGATTTGATCCGTACTAAGACCACCTCTTTTGATTTGACACATTTTGTGGTTCCTTGGTCCAGACCGTGGTCCGAGACACCTTTCACACTTGTAATGTAGGTTCGGACTAAATCGGGTAGGTGTGAAAGTGCTCTAACCTGCTCTCTCTTACGAAAAAACACTTTCTTTTTAAGTAACTGACTTTGTGTCAGTGCCAAAACAAGCAAATCAGGAGTCATTTGCAAACGGTTGCAAAGTTTTTGAAACAAAAAATGAAGTAAATTGAGACAAACATTGACTTTTTTTACGGTGGTGGAATGAAAATTAGCCTATCTATGCTGGACACGTTCCACACTGCCACAAATCATTGGAATAGAATCCTGCTTTGACCTTGACGTGTGAGAGAGAAATGCTCATACCCCGTGATGTTTGAATGAGTAATTACATTATGTCAAATCAATTATTATTGAACGCTTTGCCGGTGTTAACTTTGATTAATTATAGTGATTCAAGAAGCTAATCATGGATGGGAGGCAAACAAACATGAGTTATTTTAGAAACTGCCAGAAATGGGTGTGATTGAATTGCTTGTGGTGTCGAAATACCGGGGCCACAGTCATTTAAAGAGACTGATGTCATTCAGATACAATCATCATCAATACACCCGTTAAACATATTTAACAACAATAAAGCTGACTCATTTCTCCTTCATCATATTGGCTCTATGGCAGTGGTCCTCAAATGGGGGGGCCCTCGTGGGTCGGCGGCACACTGCTAGGGGTCTTTGAAAAGTACTGTCATTATATACTCTGTGTTGACACAGTAAAATGTTATTAATACATGTATAATATCTTTCTAAAGCTGGTTTCAAAATGAACTTCACTGAATTCCTGACATTCTCTTTGGAGTTACCCCGGCCAGCAAAACAATTAAACAAACAGTATACAAACATCTCCGGATGAAAAGTGGTGCCAAACATGTAGAAGACAGACTGACGCAGGTATCTTTGCATTAACAAAAACATGGATTTAATGCTTTAATAGCTTACATCCTTTACATTCTCGCCCCGCCTCACCTGAAGAATTTCTATGTTGTTGTGAAGTCTGAGTGGAGAATCTCCATTCTCCGCAGTTCATGTCTGAAAGTGGAGTTGTGTTGTCCTTCCACATAATTAAGTAGAAGTGTAAAACAATAGGCCCTGTAAAAGTATTCCAAGGGGGATACATGAGTGGGTCCTTGCAATATCTTGTATCTTATGGGGTCTTTGTCATGTAGGGGTTGGGGGCTGTAATTGATTATTAATTAAAACAATCATCATCCAACTTTCCAGTGTGAAGGATGTTTGGGCTCAGCGGGCTCCGAGCCTTGTTCTTTATTGATGAGACGAACAAACAGACAACCCTGTCAACCGCGACAACACAAGAGTGCCTGAAAGAGAGAAAGATGGAGGTGACACGACCTGACAGCCTGTTCTCACTTTAACGTGATTTGCTTCAGGGACCTGCTGCTGTCAAATTTGTGTTTGGCCCATCTCAATGCCCCAGCAAGTGCAGAGAAAACCCAACGCCACACCTGTCTTAAATCCAATCTAATTCCATCCCCAAAAGCCAGTTGAACCATAATAGTATGAGAGCTCTTATGCCAAGTGTCACCTGCATTCGCATTGGCTCTAATGTGTGGACTGGAAACAGAGCTGGATATGGCCCATAGTGCTGTGGTGCCAAGAATAAAAATAGTCCAACTTCAAATGACAAGAAAGTCGGGTTTTCTGCAGACAATCTAATCTGTCCATCCATTATCTATACCAGTCGGGAGCTGGAACCAATCCCAGCTGACTTTGGGGAAGAGGTGGTGTACACTCTTAACAGGTCATTAGCATGTCATAGGACAAATATACAGAAACAAACAACAACCTAGGGTCAATTTAGCATCTGTGATTAACCTTAAAGGTCCATGTGTAAGATTTAGGTGAAAGGGATCTATTGGCAGAAGTTGAATGGAGAATAATCCTCTAACCTAATCAAATTCTATTCAATTAAATTTTATTTGATTGCAACAAATCACAACAAACATATGTACTTATTATTACCATCCACAATCTAATCTTATCTAATTTAATCTAATCATACACATATAAAAAAGTAAACAATTACTGTACAGGAATTCTATATGAATCATAAAGTGTAAAAAGACAGTTGTCAACAAACGCTGCGACCTCACCACTTTGTGATTTCCTGTTACTTTGGTAAAAGGATCACAGAGCAGCCAGATTTGACAAACATGAGTGTGTTTTTTCATATAAACTGATTTATGTGGTCTGCAGTTTAATCTATTCAGAGATTCACCTCTTGCTGTGCTCACTTTTATCAAAAATAAATCTCTATTGAAGTAAAATGTTCCTGTTACACTGAACTACAGCCTGAGTGATACATAGAGATTCTTATTGTGATATGTGAGTGCATAAAAATGTAACAAATATAATCGTTGATATACTTTTTTAATGGAAAGTACTCAATAAAAACATGAATATTAACTCAAACTAAACTGCATCAACCGCTGTACATACACATGGACAACATGAATGCTCCAAAAAGTGGAGGAAAAGCATCTTGATTGACCCCTGGTGGCTGGCTGCAGAATAAGTTATAAATCCTTCC